TCATCTGGGGAGTTGGGGTAGTCTGTGGGGTCGCTGGAGGTAGAAGAAATATTTATCCCTAGTGCATGAACTGTATTTTCATTCCCTATGGAAGGACTGGAGAATCACCCAGAAGCCCACATCTGTATCACAGCACTCCTGCAGGGAGAAGGGAGGTGGAGACAGGAGAATCACCCAGAAGCACGTTGGCCAGTGAGCCTGGGGTATACAGCACAGGGGTAGAAACAAGGTAGAAAAGGAGGCTCCCCCACCCCGAATTGTCCTCTTACACACTTGTCCTCTCACCCTTCCTCTCTCCCTCCTTACACCAACTGTCTCTGACATACACACAGCAAATATTTATTTTAGCTCCCTGGGCCCTTGTTTTCAGGAAATTTTGCAAGTAGGATTTTTTGGGGAATTAAATGAAGTAATGTAAGAGCGCTCACCAAAAGTCTGATTGGGGAAGCCCTGGGAATCTATCAAGGCGTTTAGAAAATGAGTCATTGATTTGAGCAGACTGAAGATGGAAGAAAGAAATTAAGGGATGAAAAAAGTAAAATATAGGAACATTTATAGAAGCCCAGTTGAGAGAAGCTTATAGTTTGATTAGCATGCTGGACATTAGGGTGACATCACATTTTTGACTTAGGGACAAGGTGCTCTATGAAGAAATGAACAGAGGCAAAGGGACAGCTGTGAGGGAGCCCTGCCTACTGCCTAATGTGTGGCATCCTCTGCTAGAGACCAACTAGTTTTGAGCTTACCTCTTTCTGTAATCGTCACAAAAGATGCCTGTGTTAGTGCTGACTTCTGGTCTCATTCCCACCTGAAGCAATCTGCAAGAACTCTGCGCATGGGAATAGTGTTGCCATAAAAACAAAGACCCACCAGCTTTGGTATGAGACGGGAAGGAACCCCATTCTGTCCCACAGGAGTTTTGTATCTAATTCTGTTGGTCCGCTATGTATACTCTGTATGTAGAATACATTTACTGAGCACCTACTGTGTGTAACTGCTGTTATATATTCATGCATGTCTCAGTGTCTTCCCTCTATATTTAAGTAACTGGAGCTCAGCAAAATGAAGATGCTTCTAACATGATCACATGGCATGGTAATAGTAGAGTAGAGAGATTTTATCCTCAATTTCTAAACCTTCCTTTTGTACATCATGATATATATTCTCCTAGTAAGAGTTCTTCCTCAGTAATGATGCAATGGAAAACTTTAGAAGTTTCTATCAACTCAACTGTATCTTTAATGTTCATATGTGTTTATAATGTTTGTCACTGTATGTACTATGTTTAAACACTAAGTGATCTACAGTATTTTCAAAATTCCAAAGAAAAGTAAAAGGCTGATAAGATAGTTGTAAAAGACTCTGGATATCCCCATGGAGGGCCTCACCCTCCCTGGGGAATGGAGTGGGGATTGGGTGGGGTGCTGGGGGGGGTCGGGGAGGAGTGGAGGGAGGAGGAGCTGTGATTGACAGGTGAAGCAAGCTTGTTGCTAATTTAAATTTAAAAAAGGAAACAAAAAATAACATCCTAAACACTAAAAGCTGTTATTTGCTCTTTAGATTACAGATCACTGACAAGGATGAATAAAGCAGCTGTGCCATCATTTCAGGGGCAGAAGTGTTTTCTGACACCTGTTCTTCAGACAACTGTTGGGTCTGCCAAATGATGATGAAACATGTCTGAAATCCCGAGTCCTCACTCCTGATTGTGAACCTCATCTCTATTACTTTGCCATCCACACCAGATCACTGTACTCAACCTCTCTAGGTGGTCAGCCCTCGCAGTGCACTGTCAGAGACACAGAGCAAGGACTCTGAAATCATTCTGACTCTAACAGATGCTCACTTCCAATGTCTTTATTCTGTAAATGTGCGTGTACACAGACACAGAAGTGCCATCCAAGAGAGGGCCTCTATAGAAGGAAGCCCAGGCCAGCAGGGGGCACTGGAGGACTTGTGCAGCCTTTGCTGATCTCTGCGCATGAGGTCATCTGTAGACAGTTGCATAGAACTGTTTGCAATGTCCCCATCTCTGCTCTCACTCCAAGATTTCTCACATCTGCACTGTAGAACCCTGACTAAAGTCTTTGCACTGACACTAGAGGCCCAAAGTTACATAGCTTGGGATCCAAAGAGTTTTTTTGATTGACACCTCTAAATTAATTATCAATTGACTAATGTGATAATGACAGTGACCCTGAGTAAACTGAGCTCTGTGTGTCTGATGTCTCCCACCCTGCTGGGATGTACCAGTAGAACCTGGGCAAATGCTGGCACATTGGTCAGTCGCCTCTCTCCACGTGTCCCGACCAAAATTCCTGTGAATCTCTCAGTCCCTCCTTGTTCCTTCCTGTGTATCTTCTCTATTCCTATTCCTGTCTTGTCTAATTCTGGTCAGATAGTCACTGCCTCCAACCCCTGATTCAAGGTTAACTTTATTAACACATTCTCAAGGTTTCACAGTGTGATCAACTATCCTGAAACATTTCCCCCTTTTTGTTTAATTAAAAAGAAAAGGTTTCAACTCTAATGCAGTGAAACTACATATGATAAGACCAATTATCAGATAAGAAATACAGTCACCATATACAGTACATTTTTATTTGGCAAATTCAGAGAAAATATTCTCTATTATTTATCCTATCTTGGTGATTTTAAAGTTTTATACCTAAACTAATTTCTATCATAACTTGTATTACCAGCCTAAAAATATCCTTTTAGATCTTAAAACATTTTATTAGACAAACAACTTAAGTTTTTATGTCTCTCAGCCTTATGCACTTTACATCTCTTTTGTAAGTTTTGTTTCTGAATTTTGTAACAAAGATAATGGCACAACTATTTAATCATCAACCCCACCAGGGACCTGAGAAGGATAAAATATTACCAGAGTAAACAAGAAGTGCAGAACAAGCAACTTCAAAACTATAGAAATGACAAAGATATCTGGCTGCCTGGAGAGTCTCCCAAGGTTCCTCTGCAACATTGGGATATCCATATTTTACCTATAGGCCTAGAATGTCTGATGGATATTTCTATGAGGCAGGAATTTTGAAGGACTGGCCTACATTGTCTTGACAAAGCTGAGCAGTTAATTTCCTTAGTGTCTAAAGTGTCCAGTTTAGACAATGCACTGCCAGCAGTCAAGGCAAGGGCAGGATTTAAACAGTGACAAATTTGACACATTGAAAACAAACTTGAGAAAGATGTTCTTTGATTGCCTATTACCTTCTTTGAAATAGACTGGTGTTGCCAGGAGCAGAAGTATTTCATAGTCATGAAAATGCATATGTTATTAAACCATGCTAAATGCCATATTCTGTAGATTTCTGAAGTGTTTGAAGACCATATATCTATCCAAAATACATGAGGCTAAATAAAGCATATTTATATCTACATCTAAACCCTAACTATAAGTTTGATTACTATTTTAATTATCCTAAATCATTTGCAATAGTAGCTTTCAAGGACTAGGACTTTACATTACAATTTTAAATGTGTTGCACAGGTATAATACCTTATAGCATGTTGTAGCAAAAAAAAACCCTAAATTTTTTCAGTATACAAAAATCCATACAAATGTAAAATATTTGGGTCTTTCTTGTAGACAGAAGTTTCTGTCCTGCTGGTCCTGCTGCGTTCAGTCCCAAATAAACACACAGAGGCTTATATAAATTATAAACTGTTTGGCCTATTGCTCAGACATCTTATTGGCTAGCTGTCTCTTGATTATTATTCCATTTTCTATTAATTTGTGTATCTCTACATTGTCTTGGTTTATCAGTGATGCCCGAGCCTCTTGATTTCTTGGCAGCTACATGGGGTTTCCTTCACTCTACCTATTACCTTTCTCTATCCCTGTTTGGATATCCTACCTGGGTATTTCCTACCTATTCATTTGTCAAAACAGTTTTATTCATCAACCAATAAGAGAAGGATATATTCACAGCATACAGAAGGACATCCTCTATCAGAATCTAGTGGCTTTGTTTTAGTCTTAAAGTAGATGAAATTATCTACCTTTTTTATCCTATCATTTCTACATCTGCCCTTTTCTTTATTTCATCTCCATTTCCACTTTTCAAGACTGTTTTTACAAGAAAGGATAGATGAAAGAAAAAGAAAGAATTAAAGAAAGAAAAATCCCTTAATCTAGTATTCCTTGTTTACTTTCCTTCTTAACCATAACTAATAACAACTCACAAGTAACAATGACAAACATATATAACCTACCAAATGACAAAAAATTATTCATACCACCTCTTGGGAATGTGGGTATCATGTTCTTAAAATTACCTTCTTGTTGTTGGGGAGTGATAGCATCTTTAGGGTACTGTGACAATTTGGAAGATGGTCAAGTCCTGGGAGAGCTACTTTTATCATTTGTTGCCTAATCTCTGGGTGATGGGTAAATACAGATCTTATCTGAAGTCCTGGCTGGAGTATGAGGCTGCATCATCTTAGCTAATAACTTTGAAGTTGTTCCAAGCAAATTGCTGTCCAAGCTAACCTTTGGGTAGTGCTTGTTACTTTAATGGTATTATCAGAGTCCAGGTGGATTCGTAGTTGCAGGGCCCCATCATCCTTTTGGAGACTTCAAGTATCTCCAGGAATGGTTATGGTTCACTACAGAAAACTTACACATTTTAAACGTCAAGACCACAATCTGTTAAATAAATCCTGAGTATACAAACTCAGTTCCTATTTAACTTCTTCAGGCTCAAGTGTGAAAACATGTACAGAAAGCTATATGACGCTTATTTCTAAAATTCATTAGAATATCACAACAGAAAATGAACACATAATCTTATACATTTTGAGATAATATTTATATTTTAAGAAAAAAAAGTCAAAATAACACCAAAGGATTATGAGATTAGTGGCAATAGATTAGTCTCCTATTTTTGTTTTTCTTCTGACCCATAGGAGGAGGCTCTTCTGCCATGAATTTCCTTTAACAATCATGCTTGGGTTTAGAGAAGTAGAGGGACACACTCTAATTCCGCAGCCAGCTTTAATTTTTAATTGCATTGGACCTTAAAAAGACCATTTGCCTTTTATATTTTTGCAGACCAGCAAAAGCAAGCATTTGGGAAGACTTGTGAAAATCCACCCTGTTGGATATGTGCTGTGCCATTGGAGCAATTTACTTTTTCTTAGGACATTTTATCTTGATTATCCATCCTTCTTCTTCAGCAGTCTTATTTGTCCAGTGGTCTTTAGAATGAGTAGAAGGCAAAATAACTAAAACACAATCAAGCCCCAAACTTGGAACCACATAGTCCACATGTGCATACTGTAATTTCTTTTCTATCAGAGCCAGCTCTCTTTCAGCACCAGTTGATAGTTTTCTCTGAGAATTTAGGTCCCTATCACCTTATAAGGTTTGAGATAAATTACTTGACTCCTGAGTTGTTAATCCAATTGTGGGCCAAAGAGAGTTAACATCTCCCAGCAATTTTTGAAAATCATTAAGAGTTCATAATTGATCTCTCCTAATTTGTACTTTCTGTGACTGAATTATGCAATTAATAAAATCACTTTTTGTATTTTTACAGGAGAAATCTGTAACACCCAACAAGGCAAAATTCTCTTTATTTCACCAAACATTTTTCTAAGATAGTTGAGTCTGAATCAGCTAGTAAGATATCAACCCAAAACTGTTAATGAATTATCTATAATGGCTGTTGTATTGATACAAGGTAGAGCTTTTTAACATCCCTTGTGCAATAATTTTCCAGTGATACCTTTTAACAATCTGGGAATCAAAATAAGTAGCATTGTGAAGGCAACTTTTTCTGTATCCTGTTCTTGGAAAGTTATAGTGAAATAACAGACTTTTATACTAATCATAATAATAGGACATCCTTTAGGCAGTAAAGAAAGCAAGGGAATTCCAAGTTATAAAGGGCCCATTGGCTGAATCACCCTATTTATGACTCTTAAATATTTTAACAATCTTGGTTTTCTAGATTTCTTCTTAATGACAAATATAGAATTCCAAGGATTGGTTGATTTTTCAATATGTTGAGCATTTAACTCCTCCTCTACCAGCTGTCTGAGTGCCTGCAATTTTTCTGATGTCAAAGGTCATTGCTCTCACCACAGTTTGTCAGTTAACCACTTTAAAGGTAGTGCTGTTGATACCTTTGAAAGATCAACAGCTGTTGTGCCCTGCTTATGTACAACTTGAGTGATCAGTGATTGTTCTTGATAGTACCTTTTAAGACTTTTCCTCTGAAGCATTCTTTATTTTATTCTTTTTTTCTGAAATTGGAGAAATGTTAATGTATGTTTTCCATTTCTATAACAAATCATGTTTCTATAAATTCATTGCTATTTTAGCTGCATATGGATTTATTTCCCGATATGTCTTCTTATACCATACACTCTATCACCTTGTTTATTTTACCTGAGATAAAGTTCCAATTCCTAGAAACTGAATATTTACTTCCTGAAGAGGCCAATTTGGATGCCAAGGTTTTGGTGAAATTATAATTAAATATGCACCTCTGTCTACTAAACCTTCAATTACAATGCCATTTGTGCATTTTTAGATTTGGTCTTTGATCATTTACAGAAGTTTGCAAAATACTTCTTTTATTTTATCTCCTGAATTCTTTGTTTTATCTGCTGAAGCTGTGTTCTTGTGCACATCCAGAGCAGTATGATTCTTTAGCAGCAGGCATTAAGTTTTCTAATTGCTCTGTTGATGAGTTTCTCCAATGCTGACAGGGAATGATTGAACCAAATTTGATAATGGGGCCTGCAAGTGGTTCCCTAAGTGTTTCCTGATGGTAAAGGGCTACTTTGCCTGTCCCTTGTTAATCTGTTTCATTAGTCCAATGGTGACCTTTGCCACACCTTCTGCATACTCTAGAAGGTATGGCCATCTGTTTGAATTATCTCTAGAAAAAACATTGTTTCTAGGAACACCTTGCCCATAATCCCTTTCAGATGACCTTGCTTACCACAATTAAAATATGTGATATTTTTATTTTCCTTAAACTTTTTAGAAATCACTTCTATCAAATTTTCATCGTGTGAGATCCAATATCAGCCATATTTCTAATCCATTTCTCTACTGTTGATGATCTTGCCTTTAAAGGACTAATCATCATTTTGCATTGTGAATTAACATTTACAAAAACCAAAGATTCAATTATTATTTGTCAGACTTCTGGATCTGCTACTATTCTATTAGTATAGAATGTTATTCTTTGTAAAAAAAAAATCAGTAATTTTTTGGGGGGCTTATATAATTTTAGTAAATTATTCAGACCTTGTTCCTGTTTCTTTAACCTTGTACCAAGAATTCAAAGATGCCGTAAAGTCAAAGTGTGATCATCAAATGCAACCTGTCTTTGCAAATCAGCATATTGGCCTTTACCTAGGAACTGCTCTTGTCAAATATCAATACCTCTATTATTATTTCATTGTCCTATTACCACAGTTTCTTCTTTCTACCATGCTCTCAATTATAACTGAGGATCAGTTTCCAATATTGTTATATCTTAATCTCTCCAGTTTTGGGGGATAATTCTGTCCTGAGTTGCCCATGAATTCAACATTTGCTTCACATAGGGTGAATGCATACCATATGAAAGGACTACTTCCTTAAATTTCCTCAAATCTAATATTTCTATAGGATTCCATTTGATTTCTTTGTAACCTTGGGGGTACCTATTGTCTGCTGGTTGTTCTTGTATAGTAACTGGATAAACTAAGGTTGGTTTTCAAATAACCCTGGATCACTCCTCTTCAGTTTCATCATATAGTGGTGTCATAGGTTCTGGTTTAAATTCCTCTGTCTGTGTGTGAATATTTTTCTTATTTTCCTTAGTAGGTCTTTCTAAGGCTTGTATCTTATCAACAATAAGTCTTTCTAAGGCTTATATCTTATTAGTCAAGTTTTCATATTGTACATTTATCAAGCCACTTTTTAGTAAGAAAATATGAATTGTCAAACTGATTTATAATTGACATTATGTCAATTCCAGCTAAGTCATTTACTTTTTCCACTTTCAAGCCATTCACCGTGGCACTATACAGAGTCCTAACTCCCTGCATTGTGATATTTCTGATTCTCATTGTGGGAAATATATTTCATTGGACTCCCCAAGTGTTTTGCCAAAACTGCTGGGCTGGCATGGTGGATGCTGAGAACTTGAGTGATGGGAGCACAGCAGGAGGTAAGGATGCCATGGGTGCAGGTATGGGGGAGCCAGCATCAGGCCACTGTGGCTGTGGAAGCTTGCAGGAAAGTAATGTCCCGCGTGCATGTGTGGAGGATTAGCAGCAGAAGCTTGAGCAGACACTGTGTCATGTGGAGGGTACATGTGGCCTTGGCCAGGGAGCAGACACTGAGGGTCTATGGTGGGAGAAGCCCACTACCTGCGGGGAAGGTTTCAGGGGTGCTTCGGAAGGGTGGGCATGGGAGAAGCTGCATGCAGAGTGTCTGTGGAAGGAGAAAGTGGTGTCTTCCATTGCATGATCTCATGCCATGCATTGGGCACCAACATATTGCTTCACGTAAGTTGTTCTAGCACCAATAACGACTCAGCAGTCAGATTTTTGGATTAAAGCCTGATAGATCAAATCAGCAGTGGAGGAGTGACCAACCAACCTTCCTTTCTTTTAACCCGAGACACAGCAAGCACCTCTCTCTCCCCATATCCCAGACCAGAAGTCCCCCAGTTCCTCCCTACTCCTTTCTGTGTAAATTTTCTATCTTTATTCTTGGCTTCACTATTGCTAATTCTGGTCAACTATTGGCTGGCTCCACCCTCTTATTCAAGATTATCTTTTTTAACACGGTCTTGGGGAGTCAAAGTGTAATCAACTATCCCACAACACCTTGAAGAATCCAGTAGTGTTCCAGCTCCTTCAGGCCAGCCTGCTCCAATCTTTCTCTGATGGGTATGTTCACTTTGAGTTAGTTTCCTTTGTTAAGCAAACTTCTGCTCAAATTGTACTTTGGCCAGATTCTTTCTGTGAAAAGATGGGAATAGAGGCAAAAGTGTTACCTGGTGACAATGAGACCATTAGAACACCAAACAGAAGGGAATATTTCCATAATGGACAATGTGCACACAGTCTCTTGGGATGGTACTGATATCAGTCTCATGATGCTGTTCAGGTTGAGCTGAGTCCTTCTTGCTGGGTCAATTCACTGCCTATGGGTGTTAGATCAGAAATAGAGTATCTTACAGTGATGTTTTCCCATGACACTTACCCCTAAAAGCATTTTCTATATCTCTGTCACTTTTGTTCCCGAATTAACTTACTACTGGACAGTATTCTACTGAGATCTATTTAAGCTATGAAGGTGAAATTGCACCAGGAAGCCAAGTCTTACTGTATCTCAACAGGTTAAAAATAAGGACTAATTGGGATTATTACAGGTGTGCACACTCACCTGTCAGATCTGAGTCAGTCTTTATTTATATACCTAACTATTACTAGACGCCACTACAAAGGTCTATGTTAGTTTAGAGTTCAAGTCTGGCCTTTTACCTGTTACCAAACAAGAGAAGACATGGAAATGTTGAGGATGGTATGTAATAAAGGAAAACTGTCTACCATGGTGGGGATGAAAACTAGCATGACTGCCATAAAAAACAGCAAGTGATTCCTCTCCTCAGAAAATAAATACACATCCACTACACTACCAAATGACCTCTCACACTCTGAGCATATATCCCAATACAGAAAGACTATCTGAGATGTCCTAAAATTTAATTTTGAAATTTTAGGATAGAGAATTTTAATTTTCCATCTTTTTATCTTATTAGTGCCAGGCTTTTATGGTGATCTGTGTTTCTTGGAGCAATAAATAGGAATATCCCTATCTTTTAATCCAATCTGCCAATTTTCTTTGATTGGGGAATTTGAACCATGGGCTTCAAGTTATTAAAAGATATGTATTATTTCTTGTCATTTTTTACTGTTTGTTTTTCCCCATGCCTTTCATAACCATTTTTGTTTTTTTAAAGTATATTCTTTTCTCACACAAGAGTGATAGCATCTTTAGGGTACTGTGACAATTTGGAAGATGGTCAAGTCCTGGGAGAGCTACTTTTATCATTTGTTGCCTAATCTCTGTGTGATGGGTAAATACAGATCTTATCTGAAGTCCTGGCTGGAGTATGAGGCTGCATCATCTTAGCTAATAACTTTGAAGTTGTTCCAAGCAAATTGCTGTCCAAGCTAACCTTTGGGTAGTGCTTGTTACTTTAATGGTATTATCAGAGTCCAGGTGGATTCGTAGTTGCAGGGCCCCATCATCCTTTTGGAGACTTCAAGTATCTCCAGGAATGGTTATGGTTCACTACAGAAAACTTACACATTTTAAACGTCAAGACCACAATCTGTTAAATAAATCCTGAGTATACAAACTCAGTTCCTATTTAACTTCTTCAGGCTCAAGTGTGAAAACATGTACAGAAAGCTATATGACGCTTATTTCTAAAATTCATTAGAATATCACAACAGAAAATGAACACATAATCTTATACATTTTGAGATAATATTTATATTTTAAGAAAAAAAAGTCAAAATAACACCAAAGGATTATGAGATTAGTGGCAATAGATTAGTCTCCTATTTTTGTTTTTCTTCTGACCCATAGGAGGAGGCTCTTCTGCCATGAATTTCCTTTAACAATCATGCTTGGGTTTAGAGAAGTAGAGGGACACACTCTAATTCCGCAGCCAGCTTTAATTTTTAATTGCATTGGACCTTAAAAAGACCATTTGCCTTTTATATTTTTGCAGACCAGCAAAAGCAAGCATTTGGGAAGACTTGTGAAAATCCACCCTGTTGGATATGTGCTGTGCCATTGGAGCAATTTACTTTTTCTTAGGACATTTTATCTTGATTATCCATCCTTCTTCTTCAGCAGTCTTATTTGTCCAGTGGTCTTTAGAATGAGTAGAAGGCAAAATAACTAAAACACAATCAAGCCCCAAACTTGGAACCACATAGTCCACATGTGCATACTGTAATTTCTTTTCTATCAGAGCCAGCTCTCTTTCAGCACCAGTTGATAGTTTTCTCTGAGAATTTAGGTCCCTATCACCTTATAAGGTTTGAGATAAATTACTTGACTCCTGAGTTGTTAATCCAATTGTGGGCCAAAGAGAGTTAACATCTCCCAGCAATTTTTGAAAATCATTAAGAGTTCATAATTGATCTCTCCTAATTTGTACTTTCTGTGACTGAATTATGCAATTAATAAAATCACTTTTTGTATTTTTACAGGAGAAATCTGTAACACCCAACAAGGCAAAATTCTCTTTATTTCACCAAACATTTTTCTAAGATAGTTGAGTCTGAATCAGCTAGTAAGATATCAACCCAAAACTGTTAATGAATTATCTATAATGGCTGTTGTATTGATACAAGGTAGAGCTTTTTAACATCCCTTGTGCAATAATTTTCCAGTGATACCTTTTAACAATCTGGGAATCAAAATAAGTAGCATTGTGAAGGCAACTTTTTCTGTATCCTGTTCTTGGAAAGTTATAGTGAAATAACAGACTTTTATACTAATCATAATAATAGGACATCCTTTAGGCAGTAAAGAAAGCAAGGGAATTCCAAGTTATAAAGGGCCCATTGGCTGAATCACCCTATTTATGACTCTTAAATATTTTAACAATCTTGGTTTTCTAGATTTCTTCTTAATGACAAATATAGAATTCCAAGGATTGGTTGATTTTTCAATATGTTGAGCATTTAACTCCTCCTCTACCAGCTGTCTGAGTGCCTGCAATTTTTCTGATGTCAAAGGTCATTGCTCTCACCACAGTTTGTCAGTTAACCACTTTAAAGGTAGTGCTGTTGATACCTTTGAAAGATCAACAGCTGTTGTGCCCTGCTTATGTACAACTTGAGTGATCAGTGATTGTTCTTGATAGTACCTTTTAAGACTTTTCCTCTGAAGCATTCTTTATTTTATTCTTTTTTTCTGAAATTGGAGAAATGTTAATGTATGTTTTCCATTTCTATAACAAATCATGTTTCTATAAATTCATTGCTATTTTAGCTGCATATGGATTTATTTCCCGATATGTCTTCTTATACCATACACTCTATCACCTTGTTTATTTTACCTGAGATAAAGTTCCAATTCCTAGAAACTGAATATTTACTTCCTGAAGAGGCCAATTTGGATGCCAAGGTTTTGGTGAAATTATAATTAAATATGCACCTCTGTCTACTAAACCTTCAATTACAATGCCATTTGTGCATTTTTAGATTTGGTCTTTGATCATTTACAGAAGTTTGCAAAATACTTCTTTTATTTTATCTCCTGAATTCTTTGTTTTATCTGCTGAAGCTGTGTTCTTGTGCACATCCAGAGCAGTATGATTCTTTAGCAGCAGGCATTAAGTTTTCTAATTGCTCTGTTGATGAGTTTCTCCAATGCTGACAGGGAATGATTGAACCAAATTTGATAATGGGGCCTGCAAGTGGTTCCCTAAGTGTTTCCTGATGGTAAAGGGCTACTTTGCCTGTCCCTTGTTAATCTGTTTCATTAGTCCAATGGTGACCTTTGCCACACCTTCTGCATACTCTAGAAGGTATGGCCATCTGTTTGAATTATCTCTAGAAAAAACATTGTTTCTAGGAACACCTTGCCCATAATCCCTTTCAGATGACCTTGCTTACCACAATTAAAATATGTGATATTTTTATTTTCCTTAAACTTTTTAGAAATCACTTCTATCAAATTTTCATCGTGTGAGATCCAATATCAGCCATATTTCTAATCCATTTCTCTACTGTTGATGATCTTGCCTTTAAAGGACTAATCATCATTTTGCATTGTGAATTAACATTTACAAAAACCAAAGATTCAATTATTATTTGTCAGACTTCTGGATCTGCTACTATTCTATTAGTATAGAATGTTATTCTTTGTAAAAAAAAATCAGTAATTTTTTGGGGGCTTATATAATTTTAGTAAATTATTCAGACCTTGTTCCTGTTTCTTTAACCTTGTACCAAGAATTCAAAGATGCCGTAAAGTCAAAGTGTGATCATCAAATGCAACCTGTCTTTGCAAATCAGCATATTGGCCTTTACCTAGGAACTGCTCTTGTCAAATATCAATACCTCTATTATTATTTCATTGTCCTATTACCACAGTTTCTTCTTTCTACCATGCTCTCAATTATAACTGAGGATCAGTTTCCAATATTGTTATATCTTAATCTCTCCAGTTTTGGGGGATAATTCTGTCCTGAGTTGCCCATGAATTCAACATTTGCTTCACATAGGGTGAATGCATACCATATGAAAGGACTACTTCCTTAAATTTCCTCAAATCTAATATTTCTATAGGATTCCATTTGATTTCTTTGTAACCTTGGGGGTACCTATTGTCTGCTGGTTGTTCTTGTATAGTAACTGGATAAACTAAGGTTGGTTTTCAAATAACCCTGGATCACTCCTCTTCAGTTTCATCATATAGTGGTGTCATAGGTTCTGGTTTAAATTCCTCTGTCTGTGTGTGAATATTTTTCTTATTTTCCTTAGTAGGTCTTTCTAAGGCTTGTATCTTATCAACAATAAGTCTTTCTAAGGCTTATATCTTATTAGTCAAGTTTTCATATTGTACATTTATCAAGCCACTTTTTAGTAAGAAAATATGAATTGTCAAACTGATTTATAATTGACATTATGTCAATTCCAGCTAAGTCATTTACTTTTTCCACTTTCAAGCCATTCACCGTGGCACTATACAGAGTCCTAACTCCCTGCATTGTGATATTTCTGATTCTCATTGTGGGAAATATATTTCATTGGACTCCCCAAGTGTTTTGCCAAAACTGCTGGGCTGGCATGGTGGATGCTGAGAACTTGAGTGATGGGAGCACAGCAGGAGGTAAGGATGCCATGGGTGCAGGTATGGGGGAGCCAGCATCAGGCCACTGTGGCTGTGGAAGCTTGCAGGAAAGTAATGTCCCGCGTGCATGTGTGGAGGATTAGCAGCAGAAGCTTGAGCAGACACTGTGTCATGTGGAGGGTACATGTGGCCTTGGCCAGGGAGCAGACACTGAGGGTCTATGGTGGGAGAAGCCCACTACCTGCGGGGAAGGTTTCAGGGGTGCTTCGGAAGGGTGGGCATGGGAGAAGCTGCATGCAGAGTGTCTGTGGAAGGAGAAAGTGGTGTCTTCCATTGCATGATCTCATGCCATGCATTGGGCACCAACATATTGCTTCACGTAAGTTGTTCTAGCACCAATAACGACTCAGCAGTCAGATTTTTGGATTAAAGCCTGATAGATCAAATCAGCAGTGGAGGAGTGACCAACCAACCTTCCTTTCTTTTAACCCGAGACACAGCAAGCACCTCTCTCTCCCCATATCCCAGACCAGAAGTCCCCCAGTTCCTCCCTACTCCTTTCTGTGTAAATTTTCTATCTTTATTCTTGGCTTCACTATTGCTAATTCTGGTCAACTATTGGCTGGCTCCACCCTCTTATTCAAGATTATCTTTTTTAACACGGTCTTGGGGAGTCAAAGTGTAATCAACTATCCCACAACACCTTGAAGAATCCAGTAGTGTTCCAGCTCCTTCAGGCCAGCCTGCTCCAATCTTTCTCTGATGGGTATGTTCACTTTGAGTTAGTTTCCTTTGTTAAGCAAACTTCTGCTCAAATTGTACTTTGGCCAGATTCTTTCTGTGAAAAGATGGGAATAGAGGCAAAAGTGTTACCTGGTGACAATGAGACCATTAGAACACCAAACAGAAGGGAATATTTCCATAATGGACAATGTGCACACAGTCTCTTGGGATGGTACTGATATCAGTCTCATGATGCTGTTCAGGTTGAGCTGAGTCCTTCTTGCTGGGTCAATTCACTGCCTATGGGTGTTAGATCAGAAATAGAGTATCTTACAGTGATGTTTTCCCATGACACTTACCCCTAAAAGCATTTTCTATATCTCTGTCACTTTTGTTCCCGAATTAACTTACTACTGGACAGTATTCTACTGAGATCTATTTAAGCTATGAAGGTGAAATTGCACCAGGAAGCCAAGTCTTACTGTATCTCAACAGGTTAAAAATAAGGACTAATTGGGATTATTACAGGTGTGCACACTCACCTGTCAGATCTGAGTCAGTCTTTATTTATATACCTAACTATTACTAGACGCCACTACAAAGGTCTATGTTAGTTTAGAGTTCAAGTCTGGCCTTTTACCTGTTACCAAACAAGAGAAGACATGGAAATGTTGAGGATGGTATGTAATAAAGGAAAACTGTCTACCATGGTGGGGATGAAAACTAGCATGACTGCCATAAAAAACAGCAAGTGATTCCTCTCCTCAGAAAATAAATACACATCCACTACACTACCAAATGACCTCTCACACTCTGAGCATATATCCCAATACAGAAAGACTATCTGAGATGTCCTAAAATTTAATTTTGAAATTTTAGGATAGAGAATTTTAATTTTCCATCTTTTTATCTTATTAGTGCCAGGCTTTTATGGTGATCTGTGTTTCTTGGAGCAATAAATAGGAATATCCCTATCTTTTAATCCAATCTGCCAATTTTCTTTGATTGGGGAATTTGAACCATGGGCTTCAAGTTATTAAAAGATATGTATTATTTCTTGTCATTTTTTACTGTTTGTTTTTCCCCATGCCTTTCATAACCATTTTTGTTTTTTTAAAGTATATTCTTTTCTCACACAAGAGTGATAGCATCTTTAGGGTACTGTGACAATTTGGAAGATGGTCAAGTCCTGGGAGAGCTACTTTTATCATTTGTTGCCTAATCTCTGTGTGATGGGTAAATACAGATCTTATCTGAAGTCCTGGCTGGAGTATGAGGCTGCATCATCTTAGCTAATAACTTTGAAGTTGTTCCAAGCAAATTGCTGTCCAAGCTAACCTTTGGGTAGTGCTTGTTACTTTAATGGTATTATCAGAGTCCAGGTGGATTCGTAGTTGCAGGGCCCCATCATCCTTTTGGAGACTTCAAGTATCTCCAGGAATGGTTATGGTTCACTACAGAAAACTTACACATTTTAAACGTCAAGACCACAATCTGTTAAATAAATCCTGAGTATACAAACTCAGTTCCTATTTAACTTCTTCAGGCTCAAGTGTGAAAACATGTACAGAAAGCTATATGACGCTTATTTCTAAAATTCATTAGAATATCACAACAGAAAATGAACACATAATCTTATACATTTTGAGATAATATTTATATTTTAAGAAAAAAAAGTCAAAATAACACCAAAGGATTATGAGATTAGTGGCAATAGATTAGTCTCCTATTTTTGTTTTTCTTCTGACCCATAGGAGGAGGCTCTTCTGCCATGAATTTCCTTTAACAATCATGCTTGGGTTTAGAGAAGTAGAGGGACACACTCTAATTCCGCAGCCAGCTTTAATTTTTAATTGCATTGGACCTTAAAAAGACCATTTGCCTTTTATATTTTTGCAGACCAGCAAAAGCAAGCATTTGGGAAGACTTGTGAAAATCCACCCTGTTGGATATGTGCTGTGCCATTGGAGCAATTTACTTTTTCTTAGGACATTTTATCTTGATTATCCATCCTTCTTCTTCAGCAGTCTTATTTGTCCAGTGGTCTTTAGAATGAGTAGAAGGCAAAATAACTAAAACACAATCAAGCCCCAAACTTGGAACCACATAGTCCACATGTGCATACTGTAATTTCTTTTCTATCAGAGCCAGCTCTCTTTCAGCACCAGTTGATAGTTTTCTCTGAGAATTTAGGTCCCTATCACCTTATAAGGTTTGAGATAAATTACTTGACTCCTGAGTTGTTAATCCAATTGTGGGCCAAAGAGAGTTAACATCTCCCAGCAATTTTTGAAAATCATTAAGAGTTCATAATTGATCTCTCCTAATTTGTACTTTCTGTGACTGAATTATGCAATTAATAAAATCACTTTTTGTATTTTTACAGGAGAAATCTGTAACACCCAACAAGGCAAAATTCTCTTTATTTCACCAAACATTTTTCTAAGATAGTTGAGTCTGAATCAGCTAGTAAGATATCAACCCAAAACTGTTAATGAATTATCTATAATGGCTGTTGTATTGATACAAGGTAGAGCTTTTTAACATCCCTTGTGCAATAATTTTCCAGTGATACCTTTTAACAATCTGGGAATCAAAATAAGTAGCATTGTGAAGGCAACTTTTTCTGTATCCTGTTCTTGGAAAGTTATAGTGAAATAACAGACTTTTATACTAATCATAATAATAGGACATCCTTTAGGCAGTAAAGAAAGCAAGGGAATTCCAAGTTATAAAGGGCCCATTGGCTGAATCACCCTATTTATGACTCTTAAATATTTTAACAATCTTGGTTTTCTAGATTTCTTCTTAATGACAAATATAGAATTCCAAGGATTGGTTGATTTTTCAATATGTTGAGCATTTAACTCCTCCTCTACCAGCTGTCTGAGTGCCTGCAATTTTTCTGATGTCAAAGGTCATTGCTCTCACCACAGTTTGTCAGTTAACCACTTTAAAGGTAGTGCTGTTGATACCTTTGAAAGATCAACAGCTGTTGTGCCCTGCTTATGTACAACTTGAGTGATCAGTGATTGTTCTTGATAGTACCTTTTAAGACTTTTCCTCTGAAGCATTCTTTATTTTATTCTTTTTTTCTGAAATTGGAGAAATGTTAATGTATGTTTTCCATTTCTATAACAAATCATGTTTCTATAAATTCATTGCTATTTTAGCTGCATATGGATTTATTTCCCGATATGTCTTCTTATACCATACACTCTATCACCTTGTTTATTTTACCTGAGATAAAGTTCCAATTCCTAGAAACTGAATATTTACTTCCTGAAGAGGCCAATTTGGATGCCAAGGTTTTGGTGAAATTATAATTAAATATGCACCTCTGTCTACTAAACCTTCAATTACAATGCCATTTGTGCATTTTTAGATTTGGTCTTTGATCATTTACAGAAGTTTGCAAAATACTTCTTTTATTTTATCTCCTGAATTCTTTGTTTTATCTGCTGAAGCTGTGTTCTTGTGCACATCCAGAGCAGTATGATTCTTTAGCAGCAGGCATTAAGTTTTCTAATTGCTCTGTTGATGAGTTTCTCCAATGCTGACAGGGAATGATTGAACCAAATTTGATAATGGGGCCTGCAAGTGGTTCCCTAAGTGTTTCCTGATGGTAAAGGGCTACTTTGCCTGTCCCTTGTTAATCTGTTTCATTAGTCCAATGGTGACCTTTGCCACACCTTCTGCATACTCTAGAAGGTATGGCCATCTGTTTGAATTATCTCTAGAAAAAACATTGTTTCTAGGAACACCTTGCCCATAATCCCTTTCAGATGACCTTGCTTACCACAATTAAAATATGTGATATTTTTATTTTCCTTAAACTTTTTAGAAATCACTTCTATCAAATTTTCATCGTGTGAGATCCAATATCAGCCATATTTCTAATCCATTTCTCTACTGTTGATGATCTTGCCTTTAAAGGACTAATCATCATTTTGCATTGTGAATTAACATTTACAAAAACCAAAGATTCAATTATTATTTGTCAGACTTCTGGATCTGCTACTATTCTATTAGTATAGAATGTTATTCTTTGTAAAAAAAAATCAGTAATTTTTTGGGGGCTTATATAATTTTAGTAAATTATTCAGACCTTGTTCCTGTTTCTTTAACCTTGTACCAAGAATTCAAAGATGCCGTAAAGTCAAAGTGTGATCATCAAATGCAACCTGTCTTTGCAAATCAGCATATTGGCCTTTACCTAGGAACTGCTCTTGTCAAATATCAATACCTCTATTATTATTTCATTGTCCTATTACCACAGTTTCTTCTTTCTACCATGCTCTCAATTATAACTGAGGATCAGTTTCCAATATTGTTATATCTTAATCTCTCCAGTTTTGGGGGATAATTCTGTCCTGAGTTGCCCATGAATTCAACATTTGCTTCACATAGGGTGAATGCATACCATATGAAAGGACTACTTCCTTAAATTTCCTCAAATCTAATATTTCTATAGGATTCCATTTGATTTCTTTGTAACCTTGGGGGTACCTATTGTCTGCTGGTTGTTCTTGTATAGTAACTGGATAAACTAAGGTTGGTTTTCAAATAACCCTGGATCACTCCTCTTCAGTTTCATCATATAGTGGTGTCATAGGTTCTGGTTTAAATTCCTCTGTCTGTGTGTGAATATTTTTCTTATTTTCCTTAGTAGGTCTTTCTAAGGCTTGTATCTTATCAACAATAAGTCTTTCTAAGGCTTATATCTTATTAGTCAAGTTTTCATATTGTACATTTATCAAGCCACTTTTTAGTAAGAAAATATGAATTGTCAAACTGATTTATAATTGACATTATGTCAATTCCAGCTAAGTCATTTACTTTTTCCACTTTCAAGCCATTCACCGTGGCACTATACAGAGTCCTAACTCCCTGCATTGTGATATTTCTGATTCTCATTGTGGGAAATATATTTCATTGGACTCCCCAAGTGTTTTGCCAAAACTGCTGGGCTGGCATGGTGGATGCTGAGAACTTGAGTGATGGGAGCACAGCAGGAGGTAAGGATGCCATGGGTGCAGGTATGGGGGAGCCAGCATCAGGCCACTGTGGCTGTGGAAGCTTGCAGGAAAGTAATGTCCCGCGTGCATGTGTGGAGGATTAGCAGCAGAAGCTTGAGCAGACACTGTGTCATGTGGAGGGTACATGTGGCCTTGGCCAGGGAGCAGACACTGAGGGTCTATGGTGGGAGAAGCCCACTACCTGCGGGGAAGGTTTCAGGGGTGCTTCGGAAGGGTGGGCATGGGAGAAGCTGCATGCAGAGTGTCTGTGGAAGGAGAAAGTGGTGTCTTCCATTGCATGATCTCATGCCATGCATTGGGCACCAACATATTGCTTCACGTAAGTTGTTCTAGCACCAATAACGACTCAGCAGTCAGATTTTTGGATTAAAGCCTGATAGATCAAATCAGCAGTGGAGGAGTGACCAACCAACCTTCCTTTCTTTTAACCCGAGACACAGCAAGCACCTCTCTCTCCCCATATCCCAGACCAGAAGTCCCCCAGTTCCTCCCTACTCCTTTCTGTGTAAATTTTCTATCTTTATTCTTGGCTTCACTATTGCTAATTCTGGTCAACTATTGGCTGGCTCCACCCTCTTATTCAAGATTATCTTTTTTAACACGGTCTTGGGGAGTCAAAGTGTAATCAACTATCCCACAACACCTTGAAGAATCCAGTAGTGTTCCAGCTCCTTCAGGCCAGCCTGCTCCAATCTTTCTCTGATGGGTATGTTCACTTTGAGTTAGTTTCCTTTGTTAAGCAAACTTCTGCTCAAATTGTACTTTGGCCAGATTCTTTCTGTGAAAAGATGGGAATAGAGGCAAAAGTGTTACCTGGTGACAATGAGACCATTAGAACACCAAACAGAAGGGAATATTTCCATAATGGACAATGTGCACACAGTCTCTTGGGATGGTACTGATATCAGTCTCATGATGCTGTTCAGGTTGAGCTGAGTCCTTCTTGCTGGGTCAATTCACTGCATATGGATGTTAGATCAGAAATAGAGTATCTTACAGTGATGTTTTCCCATGACACTTACCCCTAAAAGCATTTTCTATATCTCTGTCACTTTTGTTCGCGAATTAACTTACTACTGGACAGGATTCTACTGAGATCTATTTAAACTATGAAGGTGAAATTGCAGCAGGAAGCTAAGTCTCACTGTATCTCAACAGGTTAAAAATAAGGACTAATTGGGATTATTACAGGTGTGCACACTCACCTGTCAGATCTGAGTCAGTCTTTATTGATATACCTAACCATTACTAGACGCCACTACAAAGGTCTATGTTAGTTTAGAGTTCAAGTCTGGCCTTTTACCTGTTACCAAACAAGAGAAGACATGGAAATGTTGAGAATGGTATGTAATAAAGGAAAACTGTCTACCATGGTGGGGATGAAAACTAACATGACTGCCATAAAAAACAGCAAGTGATTCCTCTCCTCAGAAAATAAATACACATCCACTACACTACCAAATGACCTCTCACACTCTGAGCATATATCCCAATACAGAAAGACTATCTGAGATGTCCTAAAATTTAATTTTGAAATTTTAGGATGGAGAATTTTAATTTTCCATCTTTTTATCTTATTAGTGCCAGGCTTTTATGGTGATCTGTGTTTCTTGGAGCAATAAATAGGAATATCCCTATCTTTTAATCCAATCTGCCAATTTTCTTTGATTGGGGAATTTGAACCATGGGCTTCAAGTTATTAAAAGATATGTATTATTTCTTGTCATTTTTTTACTGTTTGTTTTTCCCCATGCCTTTCATAACCATTTTTGTTTTTTAAAAGTATATTCTTTCCTCACACAATACATCTTAACTACAGTTTATCCTCCCTCAACTCCTCACAGTCACGCCTCATATCCTCTCTCCCTTAAATCCATTTCCCTTCAGAAAAGAGCAAGCCTCCTAGGGATATCAAGTGAACACAGCATAGTAAGATACAATAATCATAGGCACAAATCCTCACGTCAAGACTGGTTGAGAAATTAGGTGGAAAAGAGTCCCAAAAGTGGACAAAAGTGTCAGAGGCACCCCGTTTCCACTGTTAGGAGTCCCACAAAGACACCAAGAAGATCAGGAGGATCTTCTCTCAGGAATGTAAAATGGTATAGAAGGGGGAACTGTAGGAGAAAGTTCAGGCAGTACCTGGAACTCAGCCTACCTGGCACTTGCACTTCTAAATGAGAACCATGCTTCCCAGAAGTCAGAACGCCTGTAGCTTGTAACTGGTTTGCTGAAGAGTCTGCACTCTCCAGTCTCCTTTATGTGTGTCTCCCACATAAAGACCTTAGTGGTTTGTTCACTCAGTGTCCAATCCCAGGTAATGTGCTAACCAATCACAGTTCATAGGCTCCCATTATATAAGTAGTTGCTCAGGTACAATAAAGCAGAGACTGTTCCCTAAAACTGTCTCCAGAGACGTTCACATCCCGGCCCTTTACTGATCCACTGGCATCTCAGGCTTGTGGGGGACACTCAGTTAATCACAGCAAGAAAACATCTATAATCCCAGTGTGGCCCTCTATTGAGAAGGGAGTTAGCGATAGGACAATCATCAGAAGGTCCTGGGCCAGTTAGTCTGGCTAATGGAGAGTCAAAAAGACACTTTCTAGCAAGGTGGAAGGGTGAGGGGACTCATGTCTACAATGCCTACAGCTGTTCTCTGCCAGCCACATGTGCATCTACCACATGTTTGCCCACACTCAGTACTCACGGACAAACATCCACACTCATCCATTCCCATAGCCACCCCATTCATACCTCTCTATCCCTCTGTCTTCGTCTCCTTCTCTCTGTGTATCTCTCTCTCTTTCTCTCTGTCTCTCTCTGTCTCTCTCTCTCTCTCTCTCTCTCTCTCTCACACACACACACACACACACATACACACACACACTGCATTTGTTTTTATTTGGTTTATTAAACCACTAAGTTTGGTTTAGTTGGGAACAGTTTACACCAGACTCTTGGTTATCAGAAGGTTCACTGAGGACTACCTCTCCTGGTCGTTTGGCAGACACACTTTTATGACTGATGCTAACAGTCCAAGCTGTGATTGGTTCAAACATAAGCCTCAAAGTATGATTGACCTACACAAAGTGCTGTGACTAGTCAGAATCTGAAGGCCATGACTGTGACTTTTCTTAAGTTACTCAGGAATATTGCTTTGTCTCACCAAGTCTGCTGGATGCCCTCCTGTGCTGCCTCCCTGGGTGTTGCAACATAAATCCTCAAAAGGTTTCCCTGCATTTAGTTTGATGTTGGCTGTTGGTTTGCTGTATATTCCCTTTATTATGTTTAGGTATGTTCCTGTTATCCCCAATCTCTCCAAGACCTTTATCATGAAGGGGTGTTGGATTTTCTCAACAGCTTTTTCAGCATCTAGTGAGATGATCGATCATGTGGTTTTTCTTTTTCAGGTTGTTTACGTGGTGGATTACATTGATGGATTTTCGTGTGTTGAACCATCCCTGCATCTCTGGGATGAAGCCCACTTGATCATGGAATAGAGGAGAGCAAGAAAAGGGATACATCAATAGAGGGAGCCATTGCAGATTTAAAGAGAAATCTGGCACTAGGGAATTATACAGAGATCCACAGGATGCCCCCAACTAGGATTCTAAGTAATAGTGGAGAGGTTACCTTAAATGCCCTTCCCCTGTAATGAGAATGATTACTACCTTAAATGCCATCCTGGAAACTTCATCCAGTAGCTGATGGAAGCAGAAGCAGAGATCCACAGCTAAGCACTGAGTCTAACTCCTGGAATCAGGAGTTGTAGAGAAGGAGGAGTTACAAAAAAAGGGGTCAAGACCATGCTGGGAAAACCCACAGAAACAGCTGACCTGAAAAAATGGGAACTCATGGACCTTAGTGTGACAGCTGGGAAACCAGCATAAGACCAATCCAAGCCCCCAGAACATGGGTGGCTAGGACAACTAGGCAGTCTATGGGGCCTCTGGCAGTGGAACCAGGATGTATCCCTAGTGCACGAATGGGCTTCTTAGCCTAGATACACAGGGGAGGGCCTAGGTTTTTCCCCAGATGACTTGACAGATTTTGATGATTCATCATGGAAGGCCTCACCCTCCCTGGGGAATGGATGAGGGCATGGGAGGATGAGAGGGAGAAGGAACTGGAATTAATATGTAAAATAAGATTGTTTCTAATTTAAATAAAATCTATTATAAAAAGTTGCTTAAAAATGAAAAAAGACAAGTTATATAATCAATTCATCATAGCACCTATATCCAGTAATTGAAGGAAGCAGATGTAGTGGCCCACAGCCAAGCACTGAGCTGAGCCCCTTAGTTCAGTTGAAGAGAGGAAGGAGGAATCATACGAACAATGGGGGTCAAGAGCATGATGGGGAAAACCACAGAGACAACTCATGGGAGCTCATGGACTATGGACTAACTGCTGGGGAACCTGCATGGGACCCAACTGGGCCCTCTTAATATAGGTGAAACTTATTTGGCTTGATCTGCCCTGGCAGTGGGACCAGGACCTATCTCAGGTACATGAATTAGCTTTTTGGAACCCATTACCTATGGTTGCATACCTTGCTTAGCCTTGATACGTAGACTTTTTTGACTCCCCAAGAAAGGCCTTACCCCTCTGAGGAGTGGATAAGGGATGAGAAGTGGGGGGGATGGGGGAGGGATAGGGGAAAGGGAGAATGGGTTGGTATGTAAAATGAAAAATGCATTTTCTTGAAACAAAAAATAAAAAGATATGTTGTATGTATTAAACAAAAAGGTTTCCCTGCAGTGGGTTTTTCTTGACTTCTATAAGCAGATCAGGCTGACCTGGTAATACCAGGAGTAGCTGAGCACAGGGGCGACAGCACAAGCCACAGAATGGTGAGGCAGGGACAGCTGAGTGTAGTGAGGCCACAATGTGAACACAGCAAGGCAGCTGATGATTGGCAGCTGATGATTGACAGCAGCTGGTCAGTTTGTGAGCATCCGGGGCAGGAGGGAGAAGGGGAAAGAGGACGAAGGGTGCAGAGCTGAGGCTGAAGAAGGATAAAGAGCTGTAAGGAGCAGGTGAAGACAAACAGCTGACACTTGCTGCCCTAAGACTTCCAAAGAGCTGGAAGTCCTCACAGATGAGAGTCTCAGACCTGGGGTTGAGAGCTGTACCACAGGCTTCTGCTAAGCTCTAAGAGGACAGAGTCCTGGGCACTGAACCCTTGAGGGCGGAGGCCCAAGATCACTAGAAATGACAAATACATTAGAGCAATTCAGGAAATCCCATGAATGTCTGATGAAGTTCCTCATTTTCTATATAATCAGTGAATGAGTTGAGGCCAGTGGAAACACAAGACATGACTCTGACTCTGTCACAGCCACCTCAATGGCTAGAAATAAAAGTCTATCTCTGGAGAGTCAGTGAGTAAGCCATGTTCTCATGCCTGTACAGGTCTCAGATACATATATTGCTGAAGCCATCATTTCCTGTAATGAACTCACTAAATTCTATACAATTAAAGATGCACCACACTTTGAACATTCTACAAGCCCTGACTGCCTGATTAAAACTTCAGTGATTGTGAAGAAGCAGGGATATTGCAGGTCTTGAGCCCAGTTACAATTTATCTTTAAAATGATATCCACTCACTGTGTACCTCTGTGTCTGACTTGACATACCTACAGCTGACAGGTGAAACATGATTGGAGAGTGTTGACAGACTTCTAGCTTCCACCAATCAAAATGTGAAGAATACCACCAGTTAGCATGTGAGACCTATAACAGAGGTTTCCCCATGTTGCTATAGCCTGT